GAGGAGGAGGAAGAGGGGGGGGAGAAACCTCACACAAGGAACCAGGCAAGCTGTTGTGCAAGTTTGGCTGAAGTGTTGGAAGCGGGGGCCTCGAGGGGGGCGCTGGGGCCGCCGAGCCCCTTCGGCGGCCCTTCGCGCAGAACTGCAGCTGCGCCGCAGCGAGGTCCTGGGGCTGCGAGGCCCTCCAGGGCCCCCAAGGGGCCCTTACGAGAAGCCCCAGGAGCGCCCCGAGAGCGCCCCAGGAGAGCTCCAAGAGAACCCCAAGGCCCCTCAAGAGAGCCCAGAGGGCACCGAGCCCCAAGATGGCCCAAGAGAGCTCCAAGAGGGGCCCAAGGGGCCCCCAAGACGGCCCCAAGAGCGCCCAAGATCGCCCCAAGAGGGCCCCAAGAGCGCCCAGAGAGGCTAATTCGATGGCCCCGGAGGAGGGGCAAATCTAGGATCCACCCCTCCTTTGATCGATGGTCTCCAAGATGGCCCCAGGAGGCGCGCTACATAGCTCCCAAGAAGGCGCCAAGAGAGCCCCAAGAGGGCCCCATGAGGGCCCCCAGGCGCCCCCAAAGAGCACCAGAACCATAGAGATCTCTCTGTTCACCCTGGTTGCCCGCTTTGTTTCACAATATTACATATGTGTCTCTTCGTCCCTTTTCCCGTCAGCTCTCATGGGCAGAGCTCCTGAATGGGCTGGTGGGGATACGCGAAGCGGAATTACTTGCAACTGCACCGCAGCGAGATCCTGGAGCTGCGAGATTTTAGAATGGGCTGACCCATGATTTCTGCCACTGACCTGCAAGAAACGCTGGTGCAGCGCGTTGAAGAAAGCGACGGTGCCGCCGCCACCGTCCAGCACCGCGAACTTCCTGTCCTCCTCCTCGCCCGACCGCTCGGCGGTGACCGTGGCGTTGTCGCGAATGTGCACGTAGAGCCTCTGGGCCACGCTGCGCAGGGAGACCGTCTGGTTGACCAACCGCTCAAACAGCGTCCCGCCCATGGCCCTCTCCGCAGCGACGGGCGGAGCCGTCGGCCCGAAGTTGCACCAGAAGCGCTGCGGTTCCGGGAAGAACTCCTAGCAGAAGAACAAACGCTGTAGAACAAACAAATGCTCCTCCTCCTCCTCCTCCTCCTCCTCCTCCTCCTCGTAAGCCTCCTCCGAGTCGCATCACGTAGAGGAACAACAAAAACATAACCATAAACTTTTGGCGCTCCGCGCGGACTTCGTGGATCTGCGCTGGCCCCGCCTCCGTGGCGCGCGGAGCGCGCCAGGGGCGGCGCCGGAGGCCCCGCCGGGCGAGCCCGGCGCGGATCCAAGAAATCCGCGCTGAGCGCCAAAAGTTCATGTTTATGTTTCTGTATTTTACTCTTCGAGCTCCGGCACGCGGGCAGACGACGTGACCTTGTCAGGGGCAACGATAAGGGGGGATAGGCATAGGGGGGCATACATCGACCCCCAATCGCCCATTGATCGCTGATAGGGGTCTGATAGTCCCAGTCTGCCCAGGAACGTGCGGAGTCACCGGAGGTCTATCGCCGATCTATCGGCGATGCATCGCCGATTCCAGGTCGCTGCATCCCCCCCTATGCCAGGCCCCCCCTATCTTGAGCAAGGACCGACCGTCCCGGCATTCCTATAGGCCTATCACAAAATGTTCTCAGAGCCTAAAACTGTTCTGATAACAAAAACAAAGTTCTGAGAACATAAGCCCGCTGTGTTGAAGCAAGACAGTCCCAGCCAGAAATGTTCTAAAGAACTCTTCGTGCAGACCACAAAAGGTTCTTAGAACACTCTTTGGTAGGCCTCTAGGCGAGCTGGGACGTGTCGCCACTGCCTAACTATCGTTGCCTCTCACCTTGGTGGCCCCAGAGCGAGGCCCCTGCGCGGGCGACGTGGACCGCAGCTGCAGCGCGGCCGCGGGGGAGGCCGGCAGCGCCACGGGCACCAGCGGGCTCGGCAGCGAGGACCGCACCTGATGGGCCACTTTTCCACCACCACGACCACCATCAGTTGGAGGGGGAGGGGGTCCTCCTCCTCCTCCTCCTCCTCCTCCTCCTCCTCCTCCTCCTCCAACTCTTCCTCCTATTCGTCCTCCTCCTCCTCCTCCTCCCCCCTCGAACTTCTGGTGGTGGTGGTGGTGGAAACCAGACCCATCTGCACCAGCCCCAGCGGCGGCAGCGACGCGAGGCTGGCCGAGTCCAGCAGCGCCGCCCCGATGTCGCAGGCGCGCTCCCAGCCGGCGTCGGTCGGGAGAGGCTGCACCTGTAGGCAGAGGAACTTCGCCACGTGATGCGAAGCTCCCCCCTCCCCACCAAATCACCCTCCTCTGCCTCCTCTTTATATGCTCCTCCTCCTCCTCCTCCTCCTCCTCCTCCTCCTCCTCCTCCTCGTAATCCTCCTCCGATCCGCATCACATGGCGTTTTCTCCTCTTCGAGCCTGCGAGAACACCATCGGGCCCACCACGCACAGCGCGCCGTCGGTGGCGCCGCCCGCGCGGAAGAGGAGGCGCCTGCCGTCCAGGGACACCTGGCTGCCGACCAGCACCGGCGGCGTCGCGTGCTCGACCGCGGCAGGGCTGCCGAAGTCCTGGTCGTTCAGGGCGATCTGGACGACCGCCTGCGGCACCCGGTCGTCGGCGAGCTCGGTCACCTCCGTGGGCAGCGCGAGCGTGGCGGGGGTCTCCCCGCGGACCTCCACGCGGAAGCGGGAATTCCCCTCGCGGGACCAGGAGAAAGGATCGTCGGTGCCCTCCTGGAGGTGCGCGTACTGCCCCACCTCGGGTTGTGGATGCCATGACAATGGACACCCTAACGCTCCGATCATTGAATCGATTATGTATCGAACATGTTTGAAACATGTTCTAAAAATGTTTGAAACATGGTTTTTAACATGTTGAAGGCATGTTTAAAAAAAAAAAAAAACAAATATGTTTTAGACATCTGGAAATGATTAGGCAACGCGCTTCCTCTCCATTGATCATCGCCCACAGACCTCGGGGCTGAAGACGAGCACCTCGCGGCCCCCGAGGTCCGCAAGCTCCAGCAGCGCCTCCTCCGGCGGCGGCGGCTCGCTGCCGTTGGGCAGGCCCAGCGCCGCTTCGTCCAGCGGGCACGGCTCGGGGCAGGCGTAACCTCCCAGCAGCGCGCTGTAGAGGGCGACGCGGCTGCCCCCGCCGGCCACCGCGCGGAAGAGCGCCGAGGCGTCGTAGAGGCGCTGCGCCCTGAGCTGGCCGCTGCCGTTGACGTGCAGATACCACCGCGGGGTCTCGGTGCTCCTGCTGGGGACGCCAGAAGGTACCGGTGCCGCCACTCCCCGGGACCTCTTACGGGGTGCGCTCTGACCAGAATCTCGGGGCGAACTCAGCGGTTGCGACGAGGGCCACCCGGGAGGCCCCCTGAAGGGGGAAAGCGAGGGCAGCGGTAGCGGTATCGGCACCTTCCCAGACACACACACCCGACGTCATGATGTTTTCATGACGCGACCCCCAGAAGTCCGGACCCATCCCCCGGGACTGGTTTTTCATCCTGAGTCGTTGTTTGACGGTCCTGAGGTCCGGTAAGGGCCCCCAGAGACCGAAAATGATGAAAAACCTCCCGCCGTGATGTTTTCATGACTCGAGGAGCAGGAGGAGGAGGAGGAGGAGGAGGAGGGGGGGAGGAGGAGGAAGAGGAGGAGGAGGAGGCGGAGGAGGAGGAGGAGGGGGAGGAGGAGGATGAGGAGGAGGGGGAGGAGGAGGAGGAGGAGGAGGGGGAGGAGGAGGAGGAGGAGGAGGAGGAGGAGGAGGAGGGGGAGGAGGAGGAGGAGGAGGAGGAGGAGGAGGAGGAGGAGGTGGAGGACTCGAGGGGGTCTGGGTTTTCGGCCTCTCCGCTCCGCAGCGCGATCGCGGCCCCCACGATGGCAGCGTTGAGGCCTCCCCGGGGGCGCAGCACGCGGGCCGCGCGGCCGCCCGCCCTGCGGAGCCGCCCCACCTCCGAGTCTGCCAGCGGGCACCGGATGGTGCGGTGGTCCAGCCTGTGGGGCGCAGAAGGACGCACTGGAAATGGCTATATTTGCCCTCCCCAGACGTCATCGCGTCGTAACAAAAATCAGGACGGGAGGTTTTGGGCTGTTGTCAGCCCCGGCGGCCCTTCGCTGGGCCTCGGGAGCGTCAAAGAACGACTCGGGACGAAAAACCGGTCCCGGGGAAAGGGTCGGGACTTCCAGGGACGCCGTCCTGAAAAAATCGAGACGTCGCAGAAGGACGTACTGGTGATTATTATGTGCCCTCCCTGGAGGGGTCCCAGACCCCCTCGAGCCATGAAAGGCGCACGACGGGAGGTTTTTCCTTGTCTTCGGCCTCTGGGGACCCTTGCTGGGCCTTGGGACCGTCAAACAAAGACTCAGGATGAAAAACCGGTCCTGGGGAATGGGTCGAGACCTCCAGGGGTCCACATCGTGAAAGAGTCATAGCGTCAGGGGTCCAGGGTGTGTCCGACCAGATCATATGGCACAGGCATGTTGTGGCATTATGTTGCCCCAGCGGTATGGCCAGAGAACGCCTGCCACCGAGCATGTACCATAAGATTTCTCAGCGCGCGCATCGCCCCCGGAGGGGCGACACACACACACACATAGTAGTCCAGTTGGGTGATGCCGAAGCCTCTCCCCGCGCCGCATGTGCGCGCCGACCCGGCAGCGAGCCTGGGGGAACCAAGAAGACGCTGAGAACGCCAAAGTAGACACCTCCTCCTCCTCCTCCTCTTTCCCTTCCTCGTCCTCGTCCTCGTCCTCGTCCTCCTCCTCCTCCTCCTCCTCCTCCTCCTCCTCCTCCTCCACCTTCACTCACTCACTCACTCACTCACTCACTCACTCACTCACGCACGCACGCACGCACGCACGCACGCACTCACTCACTCATCACTCACTCATGGCGGTCCTGGGTTCTCCTGTAGCCATGCTCTCCTTTTTCTCCTCCTCCTCCTCCTCCTCCTCCTCCTCCTCCTCCACTACCAAGCCGAATATTGCTCCCCGAAACCTTGGGGAACAGGCTTCGTCGATCGTTGAGGATCCCAAGGTGCCCCAGGGCTTCTGTGGGTCCCTGGGGCCATCGGGGGATATGGAACTTCACCTCTGTGGGGCACCTGTGGGGCACCTGCTGACAGGCCGACCTCTTGCTCGATGTGCCTGCTGTACTTCCTGGACCTCTCCCTGGGTGCGTTCCCACCAGCAGTTGGAAGCGAACCCAACCGCGGCGACGAGGGCCTCCCAGGAGGCCCCCCAAAGGCGAAGAACCAGGCAGGGGCGGGGGTACCGCCACCCTCCCTGAGATCCGACCTCGCGGAAATATTTGTCCATGAGAGCAAGCGCATCAGCATGGTGCCAGCTCGCGCGCGTGCTGTTCGCATCACGAGCCGAATGAGGCGAGAAGAGGAGCGGAAAGAGAACGGATGGATGCATCAAACTGCTGTGAGCGCACTTCCCCAGGATCCGTGCGACCCTGCGGGAGCAGGCACATCGCGGAAGAGCACTACGCACCAGAGCCCTAGCCGCCGTCTTCCTGCTGCAGCTTTCACGGCGGACCGATCTGTGCTGGCCCCCCCGGGGCCCGCAGGCGGGCGCCGACGCCCTGCGCGCAAACACTGCAACGACGACCAGATCTCAGAGCTTTCTTTTCTCTGGGGGGCAAAGACAGGGGCCTCCTCCTCCTCCTCCTCCTCCTCCTCCTCCTCCGCCTGCAAACCGTAGCCATTTTGGCTCAAGATGCTTGCACTTGGGGGCTTCCGCGCCCTCGTGCCAAAGTGGGATAGCTCTGTTTCCCGAGCCAGACAATCCGATTTTTCAGGGGTCCTCCTGCTGGAGGGCTCGCGAGCCCCATGGTCCCACCGCCTCCCGTCTCCGATGTGCTGCGCGGGCCCAGGACACCGCTCTGGGGATGCAGTTGTGGCGCAGACAAGAACTGGGCGTGCCGAGTCCGCTGCCGCTGCGGCACCGCTGCCCCAGCTCGCATTGTCGCCGCAGCCAAGACCGCACACGCTAGAGCTGAGAGAGCTGAGAATGAAGTGCAAGGGAGGAAGCCCGTGCTTGGTGGCCGTCGAGCCACACCAGCGCCATGGGCACGGGACCAGAACGAGGAGCTCCGCAAGCAGGTGGCCGCGCTCGAGCGCAAGTTGGCCAACACCAGCCTCAAGGACCCGACGCCCGACCAGGGTACAGGTGCTGAGAGGCCGAAGGATGCAGGAGCTACCCGTGCAGAGATTCTCTCGTCGTCGATCTCTCTCTCTCTCTCTCTCTCTCTCTCTCTCTCTCTCTCTCTCTCTCTCTCTCTCTCTCTCTCTCTCTATATATATATATATATATATATATATATATATATATATGAAAAGTACCTCAAGGAGCCGTCGCTGCCGCCTAATGTCAAGCAGGCGCACCAGCTTGAGATTGAGACCCTCCGTGTGCAGCTCGAGAGTGTCCAGTCTCCTGAGGCTGCCCATCGCAGGGCCCAGGATAAGCTCAATAATGCGCAGTCGCAGCTCGTCAAGCTCCAGCGCGAGGCTGAGAAGATGTCCAAGCAAGTTCATGATCTCCAGGCTGCACTGGAGAACAAGAGGGCCGCAATTACTTCCAACGAGGCGGAGATCGACGGCTACAAGAAGTCGTTCGCTGAAACCGCCAAGGCCGTCGCCCCAGAGCGGTCCCTCTTCCCTGAGTTCAAGTTCGACAAGGATGGGCTCCCCGAGGAGATCCGCACCGCCCTCGAGTCCATCGGAGCGGAGACCACTGCCAAGTTGTTCGCGGACCTCGAGGGCCAGGTGCGGAAGGCAACCGCACCCGAGCCAGCGGACGCCCCCATGCCACAGCAGCCCGCTGAGAGTCCTGATGAGACTCCTACTCCTGGTGGTGATGACTCCCCTGGTGGCGGCGTCAAGCGTGACCTCGCCCCCACCTTCGAGGAGTCAAAGGAACTGTTCGAGCTCGTCAAAGGGGGCAACCCTGCTGACAGCAACGAAGACCTCATGCTGAAGTTCCATGACAAGCTGCTGGCCATGCATCGAGACAAACGGCAGCTTCTTTGATATGCCTGTATTAGTCAGCAGCTTGCCTGTTCATCACGGCCAAGTTCGGCCACCACCGAATGCTGACCCTCGAAGCCAGTTCTTCGTGGAGTCCTTCAACGCCAACCGTGGCATCCGCACGCTGAAGGAAAAGATACAGGCTTCGTCAGCGACAATCTTCGTCGCGCAGGAAATTGGATTCCATGATGATGATAATGATGATTTTGTTGCCTGGGCAGGTCGTCGTGGGTGGAAGTGTCTTACCAGCCCTGGCGCCAAGTCCAAGGGAACAACGCCCACGCAGGGTGTTGCTGTACTTGCTAGGGACCACGTTGGACTTCGGGGACCAGGTTGCGCCCGCGCTGTCCTTCACCATCGCCGCGCACTGCACGCTGTTGTGCACCTTCCTGGATGGCCACCGCTGCACACCGTCTGTGTCCACCTGGTGGTCAACCAGGGCATCAAGGGCAGGAATGCGCGCATCCTGGCTCAGATCGGCACGCGGGTTTCCGAGATTGCCGACCCCGTCGTCCTGGTTGGCGACTGGAATGCTACGCCGAGGGACATCGAGGAGCCAGGTTTCCCGAGAGTAGCCAAGATGGTACTTGTGGCCCCGTCCCTGCCCACATGCATTACACCCAAGTCTAGCCGTACGATTGATTTCTTTGCTGTCAACACTGTTGCCAAGAGGTTGCTCGAGTCCGTCCACGTGGACACCTCATGGCCGAAGCGACCTCACCGTCCTATTTCACTGGGCCTCTCTACGGAAGGCCTAAGGCAGCAGTACATGGTATACACGGTGGTAAAGAAGTATGGGGCCGAACGTTTCATTGGTCCTGCACGAGAAGGCTCCGACTGGCAGCACCCCGCTGCGATGGCTGAGGCGGCCGTCGATGCTAGTCGCCAGAAGCCTGTTCGTGAAGCATGGTGCATTTTGTCGCGAGCGTGGGCTACCTTCGCCCATGCCGCCGAGAAGGAGGTCAATGCAGTCACTGGCCAGTGTGCGTCCAGCAGCGCCTCGTGGGGAGCGCCGCCCAAAGCCAGATGGGTTGACTACAATCACCGCCCCGAGACAGTTGCTGAAGCCAAGGCGATCTCTCGCGGCTGGACATGGTCAACGCAGTCCCTGGACAACTTGTGCAAGCTCATGAGGCTCAAGCACACTACGGTACCTTGTCTGGAAGCCGAGGTGGATGTGTTTTCGACCGCTGAGTATTTCGGGCAGGGTATATGCGCACGTTTGGGTGCCAGTGTTCTTGAGGCGCGAGTCGCTGTTGGCAATGCCTTGCTTCGTGCAGCTGGTGCCCAAGGCCCGCCACCAACACCGTCCACGGCACATTTGCGCTCTGAAGTGGCCCCTGCGGCCGCTATCGTGGTTGGTCCCTCAGGCCATGCAGGACTGCAAGTTGATGGCCTGCTTCCTGATCAGTTTGACGAGCCTGACATCGACCAGGACGATTTCGTTGGCATCAATGCGCAGCTCGGGGGCCAGACTGGAACCGTGCCTCAGGACGATGATTTCGAGACCTGCGTCGCCCCTCGGATCCACCGTGACAGCCACCGAGCCGCTGAAATTCTTGAGCAGTACCGTCGAGACATTGCAGCTGATGCACGGAAGGCCGAGCTGGATGACGTAAAGGATGATCGCCAACGGTGGCAGGACTGGTGCGACGCGGCATCGTCCAATGGTGCGCGAGGACTTCACCGCGCTACCCGAGTTCCCAATGCACCTCACCCTACGGTAGTTCGTACTGCTGGAGGGCTTACGGCACATCCTCATGATATCGTCGAGGCCGAGGTTCGCAAGTATGAGAAGCTTTGGCATGCTAGCCAGGTTCCGAGCCAAGCCTGGACGCCTGACAGGTCGGCAATGGACAGGGCCAGCGCGGACATCATCCGCGATGTGGCCAACAGCTTCCCGCGCACCACAACGGCCAGTCTTGATCGAGTGCATCCTCGTCACTTTGGGCTACTTCCTCGCGCTGCGCTCGACGCCATGGCAGCGCTGTTCGAGGCGTGCGAGCGGATTGGTCTATTGCCTCGCCAGTTATGCTTCATTGTCATGCCCATGCTTGCTAAGCCTGACCAGGGCCACCGACTGATAATATTGTACTCGGGCATGTACCGTGTCTGGCAGAGGCTTCGTCGCCGTGACCTCGATGGCCTTCACCAGCAGCTGCGCCGCCCGTACTGGGGCGCCTTGGCAGGCCGTGGTGTACTCGACCTGTCTTGGCTGCAGGCTGCGCGCAGTGAGGCTGAGGTCAGCCAGAACAATTATAGCCTTTTGATTCTGATGGACTACAGCAAGTTCTACGAGGGCATCCCGCTGGAGGTATTACGCGGTCGCCTCCTTGCCTGCGGCATGCCCATGCCGATTCTCAAGTTAATTTTCAACGCGTGGCAGTCACCGCGTATCATTCGCCTGGGCCTGCACCACAGTTGCACAACCTTGTTCGCCACTTTTGGGCTACCAGCAGGCCGTGCATTTGCTGATGTTGCGGTTCGAGCCTTCACGATCACAGAGTACGACCAGGTTGTGCGCCGCACCCCGTCGATCGATTTCATGAGCTACATTGACGACACTGGGGTCCACGTGAGCGGCCGTGACCGAGACATCGTTGCAGGCGTCGCGATCCAAGCGGGTGTGCA